CGTGCTGCATGATGGTGTTGTGCGGGCGCATGGATGGGCTCGGTGGGTATGGTAACGTAGCTCGTGGAGCGTGCCGGTGGCGCGGACTTCGTGGGCGGTGGAGGTTGCACAGGTCGAGGCGATATATCCAAAGCTTCCACCATGTCCGCGTCAAAGTCGTCTCCGAAATCATCTGAGGATCCCTGCGATGCCGGTGGCTTCGGTGCCGCTTGCACGTAATCGTCTTCTTGAACAAGCTCGTCATCCATGTCCACGGTATCTTCTAGAGGTGCCGACTCGTGCCGTATCGTTTCGGAGGTTTCTGCAAGATAGTCGCGTGCACGACGCTGAAGAGGAGAGCCTGACGATTCGTCCTGACGATCGCCGGCCCCAGGCAATGGGGACGAGCTTGAGGGCATCTGTGACGATATGCGCGGCTGTGACTTTGACACGCATTCCCTCATGCGCTGGACCATGCTCGCGATGTTGGGTTTCGCGGGTTGTCCAAGCATAATCCCATCCGAACTAGATGCGCCAGCGAAAACGTCCTCTGTAGCTTCCTGCTCCGGCTGAAAGACACCGTGGGTTCTCCGTTTCTTCCGGGTCGATGCTGGGAACTCTACGCCACAGCTTGCCCATCTCCGAAGTCCACTGACACTTCCAGCAGCAGCCATTGACCTGGGTGACGATTCGTTGATGAGATGTGCGAAGGCCACGCTCTTGTTGGCGCTTGGTGTTCCCTTGTTGTTTGTGTACCGTGACCACAGCTCCATGGCAGGATCGGCCTGGGGTGTCGTGATGTCTTGCCTGGCGCCGTCCAGTCTGTGTTCGTCTTGCGACGGTCCGACAGGCGACGAGCTCCTAGCGCGCTTCTTGTTCTTCCGCGGCAAAGGCGTGTTCACTGCTTGCGAGCCTCTCCATATCAGCGTCTCTTCGGGCGAGGCGACGGGCTGCGGCGCGTGTCTCGAGGAGTCGTCGACGTTGCCCACTAGGTCCGCAAGCGGCAGCCTCGTGGTGGCGGGAGTTGATGGCGGCGGACAGTCGAGAATGGTAGGCAGCTTCGGAGTCTTGTTGGTGGTTCCCAAATCTTTCGCGACCCGGTTCGCCTTTGGTGTGCCCATGGGTTTGGCTGTCTTGCCTCGCGCCGTGGGCAGGTTTTCCTTCTCAGCCTCGCGCTGGCGGAGGGACTCGGCAGTGGGCGTGCCTTCGATGAACTGGAAAGCTTTGAGCTTGGTGCGTGTCTGGGTCGAAGGCATGATGGGAGGGCCAGTAACTACCTGCCGAGCCTGCGGCGCCGCCTGGTTACTGTTTTGGTGGGGGAAGTTGCGTGGGCGGTTCCATTGGCCCTTGAACTGCTGCTGCGAGGGTGAGAGGTGAGTAGACGCCGGCAGTGAAGGCAGCGGGCTATCCAAGTACCTTTGGCTTCGGGTTCTGGTCAAAGAAGGACCTCTGTCGCGTGGACATGGAGATGGTTGGTAGCGTCAGCGTCGACAAAGCACCGAACGCGAGATACGCGTCGTGAGTGGCCAATCACGTTGGGCGAGGCGAGAGCTCGTGGCGATACGCGCTCGGGCCGGCTGCTGCGAGCCGATGTGCGACACAGCTCCGAGTGCGGGGACCTGCGCCGGCCTGAACCACTCTTCACATGAGTCGCATCTATGGGTGCATGATAAAATTTAGGCTGTTCGATTGGAAACTACGTTAAACATTGAGGATCGTAGTCGGTCCCGGGGTAGGCCGACTGGCATGTGCAAACTTCCGTCATAGTCCTCGGACATCCTGATTGATACAGTCACGGAATTGACACGACTTGGCGTATCGCAGGTAGCTCCGCGTATCACAAAAGTAGCAAGACATGTCTAGAGGCAGGGACGGGTCAGATAGTCGCTTTTGCGCCAATCGAAATGGTGTCAACCGATGACGGGAAGCTAGGAACACACCTAAGCGGAGTTTGGACATTCATCCCACGCTCTAGCACTCTTTCCCCAGATTGTGCGCGCCGACCGTGAATCGCTCACCCAACAGCGCCCATCTCTCTTCTCTCACCCTCGGCCATCTCATTACCTCCCACCAAAACCGCCAACATGTCTGCTGCCGATGCGAAGCCATTGCCTTTTGTTTACCAGTTCGCGGCTGGTAAGTTCCAATTCTCTTAACACCGCTCAGCTCCGATGCGACAGCTACCCGAGAGAAATCCGGCTCCGCACCAAGCAAGAAACCATACGCGCTTCTCTCCGATTATCGCACACGGCATTTCTGCGTGCCAGTTGAGCTTCAGCTATGTCAATCAGTACTAACAATGTCCAGGTGCCGTGGCTGGTGTGTCAGAAGTGAGTGCGCAACTGGCTATGGAGCTCGCGTGAGATCAACTGTGCTAATGCAGCTCTTGTAATAGATTCTGATCATGTATGTCTCTTCTCCCATCGACACTTTCTAGGCTTAGACACTAACACTATCTCCAGGTACCCGCTGGATGTCGTCAAGACCCGGATGTAAGCGACCGCATATGACACTACCTCTGTATCGCCTCTAAACATACACAGACAACTTCAGACCTCTGGCAAGGTGGTCGGTGACGAGGGCTACAATGGCATGATGGACTGCTTCAGGAAGATCATCAAGAATGAGGGGTACGCTATGACGCTCCTGCGACCATGAGCAAGAGGGGTTGACATCTGCCAGTGCGTCGCGATTGTACCGCGGTATCACCGCGCCTATCCTTATGGAAGCTCCCAAGAGGTATGCGCACTTCCCTGCTTCTTAATACCAACAAAGAAGGAAATCATCTCACGCGACACAGGGCCACCAAGTTCGCAGCCAATGACTCATGGGGTTCCTTCTACCGCAACCTGTTCGGCCAGGCCAAGATGAACCAGTCGCTCTCCATCCTCACCGGCGCAACCGCAGGTGCCACCGAAGCCTTCGTCGTCGTACCCTTCGAGCTCGTCAAAATCCGGTTACAAGACAGGGCGCAAGCCCACAAGTACAACGGCATGGTGGACTGCGTGACCAAGATTGTCAAGCAGGAAGGACCGCTCACCCTTTACCAGGGTCTTGAGTCGACCATGTGGAGGCACATCCTATGGAACGCTGGATACTTTGGCTGCATCTTCCAGGTCCGCGCTCTCCTGCCCGCAGCGACCACTAAGAAGAGCCAGATCACCAACGACCTCATGTCTGGTGCTATCGGTGGCACGGTCGGCACTATCCTAAACACTCCCATGGACGTTGTCAAGTCGCGTATTCAGAACTCTCCCAAGGTCGCAGGATCAATTCCCAAGTACAACTGGGCATGGCCGGCTCTCGGTACGGTCATGAAGGAGGAGGGTTTCGCGGCACTATACAAGGGATTCACACCCAAGGTCCTGAGATTGGGACCTGGAGGCGGTATCTTGCTGGTCGTCTTCACCGGTGTCATGGACTTCTTCCGCAACATGCGCGACGGCAAATAAGCGATGACTAGACTCGTCAGTACGTGTAGTCTTTGGACTACTTTGACCGTTCAAGGGCCCCAAGGAATCCTGCAATGTAGATTACGTATCCTGTATCCGCTTGCTACAAAGCAAGGCAGGGTCAAATCACATTCTTCAAACCATGTTATAACAACACGAACTCGTGCTGGCCTTTTTCTTGCTTTGAGAGTAATGCTCTACTGTCCGCTAGATGTTATCGTTACCTTTCATTATTGCAACGCAGAAGATCAGCACTTTTCATACAATCGGACCTGCCAGTAGAAGGTTTCCACTAACATCAAGTTCGGCCTGATTCTACGTGCGCGAATGCTCTAACAGCTTTTCCAAAGGCTTCCAGTATTTCCGACAAGTAGAAAATCGCATCCCGAAACCAGCGCAGTCTAACACATGCCAGTCCCGCGTTCTATCAACCCCAAACAACCCCACTTACGCGGCTAGACACGGGTGACGTCACCCTCCCCTCCAAGCACTCACCACAGCCCATCTTGCTGCCTGGTGACCCCTAAAGCCCAAACAAACAAGTTAGTTCACGCAAGTGCCAGCCAGGGTCTACTTGCATAAGTACTGCATCCCCTCTACCCCACTTTCCGACCACAAAACTATCCAAACACTGCAACAACCTCCACGATAAGACCACTCTCCAAACTCCGCACAAGCAAACACATACATCCACACAGACTCTATACCACCCGAACACCACCGCACAACATGCCTCTCGTAGTCCCCGGTCTGCAGTCCAAGGATGGAAACTCCAACGATGACTGGATGAGCAAGCTCATGGGCAAGAAGCTTGGAGATCAGCATGATGAGATGGTGAGTTGCCTCTTCCTATTACCTATATCCTTATCTTAGCCTTCGCCTGAGTCTCAAGGCTAACTCAACGACACTCTCAGACTTTCGCAAAGACCGACCTCCCCCAGCAACACCGCGTTCTCAACGAAGGCGACATGAAGACCATGGACTTCCAGCCCGAGAGGCTGAACGTTCACCTCGACAAGGATGGTACTATCAACAAGGTTACCAAGGGTTAAGCGGTTGTCTTATGGCACGGTCACTGGGTGTGAGGGCACACCTATGACGAAAGAAGGCATGAAGGCGTGAACCTTTGAGAGCCAGACCTCAGGTCTTGTTAGTGGGCACATTATAAATCATCAAGCTCCATAAGCATAAGCAATCAGTGTGCCCAAAGTGATGAATGATAAGTGATAGTTAATGAGAGTGTATCTGAAAGAGATATTCGCCGCCATCTCTCGACTGAAGTAAACAACAGAACTCCGAAAACGCCTTACAATGATATCGTACAGTAAATGTGAAAGTATATACATCCGTACGAAGAAAGTAGATGTCACGCCTAGATACCCACGAATGTTTTCGAGATAGTAGAAGAGTAAGGCTGCGCCTTGTCAGCCTTAGACTTAAGCCCTACAGCCCTATATGAGCACGGATACCGATTCGAGGTGGAGCATTCGGAGACGCCGAAAGACATTGCCACTGTGGAGAAAGCTTGTCGCAACGTCGTTTCCTTTGAGTTGTGCATACGGTAGTTCTTCAATTTTTCGATCGCTTCCTCGACACGAAGCTGTCGTTCCTTATCATTTGACCCTCGTTGGACTTTCTGCCTAAGGCTGCAATAAGATCAGTCATTCTGAGCATCGTGGAATGAATTGCTTCAGGATGCTCAAAGCACAGCATGATGCATGCCCGCATTGTTGTTGCAGAGAAGTATCTTCGCACGATCTTGTCTTTGCTGTTGTTGCTCGCGGCTCCCATGACCAAGCCAATCCACAGTAGCACTCCGGCCATATCGGACCAACAGTCTGAAAGGTTGGAGTTCTCGAGGGCGTCTCGTAGTTGTTGGAGGATGGTATCTCCGCTGACTTCACGCATCAACACTTCTTGTTGAAGGGGAACGTCCGATGAGCTTGACTGCAATGACGAAAGCAAGGGTCGTGATGAGGTGGATGAATTCGAAAACCGGTGGTTGGAAGGAAAGCCTTCGCTGTATGAACCAAACATGGGGCTTTCGGAAAGGTCGGTAGCTGGACTGACATCTTGGGGGTCCAGAGTCGAGGAAAAAGAGCCGTTAGAGTGTGAGGCCATCGATGAGCTATACAAAAACGGTTGTATTTCAGGTAACTGCACACGGTCGAGCGCCTCCGACAGGGGCACTTGATCGAACATAGCCTGAGCCTGGACGATCGCAGCGAGGCGAATTGCCTCATACTTCCAGTCTTTCGTTTTCAGTATGGATGTTTTGCGGGAGGGCTGTACAGACCGAAATCGAATGATGCGGTCGTAGGCACTGCGCGATTTGTTAGAGCTGCCTGCACGCCTCGAGCTATTGGTGTCAAGCAGGTCCTCCATCATCGTGCGAACGTCTTCCAGGAGTTTTTGCGCATTCGCATTACAGTTTGCCGACCTCTCGATCGTCATGAATTTGCCGTGTGGATGGTATAGCGGCGATTCCGGTATCGTAGCGATCAAAGGATATGTCTTTAACGCCCGCATCTCGCAGTAGTCAACATACATCCGAGTGGGAGAGGCTTCCTGCAAAGCCGCGGTCGCGAGGTTTGCCCACGAGACTGCAGATGCTAGCTGGCCGTTGACACCCAAGGTTTGAAGTCCACCGCGCTGCTCGATCATTTTGGCAATGCCCATCTGGTGGTAGCGTAGACCTAAATCGGCGCGGCTTATGACGTCCCCCAGTATGAGTTGGCTGACGGCGATGATATTGTGATCCGCCACACTCTGCTCCACGTCGGTGAGGTGACCACCTACGAAATGTATGACATCTTGGCGCAGTGCCGCGGTTTCCAAACTCTCTATTTCTCGATTGTGAACGACATCATCGTATGCGGAAGCCATGTAGAGGGTGCTGAGGAAGGTGTGTGCATAGCTCAGGCATTCGGGGATCCAGTACCTACCCAGACCCTCCGTGCCGAAGTATTTGGAGCATTCAATCTTCAGCCTCTCGACGTTCACGCGAGTGTTCCTCGATTGAAACATAGTTCCGAACGGGTCTAGCCCATTCCCAAGACATCTCAGATCTGGTACTGGTTTTAGGTCGAATGGATACCGATGGCCACTTCTAATTGGAATAACAATGGGTGTCTGGGTGAGGGTCGATTGGTGAGGCGTAATCCGTGCTACCTGAGCATCATGATGGGGAGCCTCCTGGCTGCTGCTCGTAGACTGCGACAACCGATGTATCTTATCATCACTCTTCTTCTCTTTGACTCTCGGCGTTTTGATTGTTCGTGGTTTTGTGGTGCTTTGGGAACCTAAGCTCGATCGCGAATGATCCGAGGCTTCGCTATTGGCCCTAGTTTTGTCGCTGACCTGATTCTTTGTAGCTTTTAGATAGCTACCCATCGCGGTTTGGCGTACGGTTTGCATGGTGGCCTTTGATTTGAAATCGCTGGGTTTGGTGGCGGTTATCCATCGAAGGCTCGCATTGTCAGGTGACTTCGCCGTTGGCGAAGAGCTCGACTTCCGAGGCGGCATGAATTCTACTGGATATTAGCGATTGGCACCACTGAGTGAGCTGGGGATGGCGATCAGGGGTTCTGCTGATGTTGGTGATCGTGTTACACACCGTGAAGGTGCAGCATGCGCAAGCAGTGGACCTCGGCCGTAGCGAGAGCGCCTTCCGCATGTGGTACGCGCATCAAGTCCGTTCAATGATACGAAAAGGCACGCTCACCATTGAGTTGCTGCGGAGGCGACATGACATTTCCATAGAAGCTTGAGTCCGATGCGATCGTCGAGGGTGGTGAAGGATAGACAAATGGCATGTGATGGGCGGAGAAGAGCGGTCGTGCGGCTGGAGGGGCAGTCATTGTTGTCGACTAGCCCGATAGTACTCAAGGATAATTGGCAAGCGCGATGATGTTCGATTCGGTGATCGGAATGTAGTGTCATTCCTATGGCAGATGTTAACGATTTAGATGGAATCTGAGCAACAGAAGACGAAGGATCGATCGGTATCGGGTAAGGCTGAAAGCAATGGGGCCAGAAGTATATATACGCGGCTGGTGACAGTGTGCCTTGCCGCCCGTGAATATTTCCAGAAAGGGCGCAATTCCAGCCATACAAAGCTTTGTGCAACAGATGAAGCGGAAAGCAGGCAATTGTGCGTCATAAAGCGTGTGTTGAGTATGCGCAGCAACGTGCTGGTGCTGGGATGAGTATACGGTGAAGGCAGTCGTGGCTGAGTCCTTAATGCTTGTTGCGACGAGTGAACGAGAGGCCTGCGCGCCGGGGAGGAGGCATAGTTGGTTGCCTGAACGCCGACCCATTGCACTGGTGCTCGCTTTAGCGCGGGACCCGTCTTAGACGCAGCACGAGTAAGTAGGGCTTTCGGGGATCCGTCAAAACTTTGGAGCAGTTTGCCATGTTGGATGGAATGGGCTTGGTGCAATGCGCGCGTTGCCACTGTGAGCAGAATCACGAGGCTGTATCCTCTCAGTCCTTCTACAATCTCTGTGAGGGACTTCACCCACATCGATTGCCTCGTGAGGAGACCAGGCCCTTCATTGGACGTTGCTTCGCACGTGCGAAAGCTGACCTCCAAGCCCTGGAGACGCTGTAGAGGCCCAGCGCGTCTCACCGCCCGGTTGATGCCACCGCATCCCCAGAGCGCATGCCAACCCTGCTATCTTATCTAGACACAAAGTTTGGTCGAGCGGCGGACGTAGATGTCTTTACCAAGCCATTTCGTCCCATGGAACCCTTGGCTCAGCTACGTACCTCTCCGCTACACACGACACGAGACATCAGGCGATACTACGTTAGACGGAGCACACAGATACGACCGCAATCTAAACGTTCGCTTACCAGTTGACCAGCTACGTGGGTGCGCCGTGCCTCGGGATCCCGTACAAGACGCGGTAGAAGAGGGCAGACTGGTCGAGCTCACCAATCGCGAGGTATACTCCTCTTCCTGCCGTGAGGTTGGATAAGCAGCCCTGTGGGGTCGATACGACCCTGCATTGCTGCTCATTGGAGAGAGCAAAGCCAGACCCATATTTTGGGACCATCGATAGCACACGGCACCCCGAGTACCCAGATCGCCTAACATCACCAGGTGGCTGTTTAATTGTTCGAGTGGTGGTCAATGTGTGTTCAGCGGTACCTAGGTAGCGACGTCGGCCGAACCATTACAGCGAGTCTCGTGATGCGACGCCATACATCATCGTTGTGAGTATCGTGGGTTTGAATACACGGACCGCTTGCAAAGATGTACATAGCTGCATCAATGATACAATCCATGGGATAATCTGGTTATTACTACTACTGACGCATGTTGTTCAGCCCGAGGCCGAAATAATCACCGGGTGCTTGTGACGGACGTGTATCGCTACCAGCACTTACGTCGCTCCCACCGGGGCTAATGTCACCACTCTCTCGCGCCATCATACCAGTACCATCGGCCCCAAAATCACTGCCTGTGCCGTTCAATGCCCTGAGCCCATTGTTTCGTCCCCGCAGCGGTACATTTAGCCGTGCGGTTTCGAACGTAAAGTGCGACTGGCCATGGACTGGTTCCGCTGATGGTGTCTTCAGCTCAACAAGCTCCAACGTACTTCGGAGTGTTGCGCCAGATTCATCAAGAGCCATGAGAAAGCGCGCGAGTTCTTTGCATAGCTCCCAATCCTGTTCGTCTTTGGCGCGTTGAAGTAAGCGCACGACTTGATCGCCTGTTGGTCGCAGTTCTTCGAAAGTGTGAAGAACTAGGAGATAACCACCTGCAGTCTTCAGGTTCCCTTTCTGTAGCGATTCTTCGAATAGTTCTTCCGGTGGAGGCAGATTCGAGAATAATGTCCGCCATGAACGGACCTCAGTTTTGCGGGTACATTGCACAACAATGTCGAGATATCGGGGAAAGGAGCTCAGGAATGATAGCACGCTCGGTAATAGCGCCTGTTCGGGTGGTGGCTGCGTATCCACTTCTTCGTCCAAGACTTCATGCAGTAAGATCTCCAAAGCATGGGGGAAATATAGCAAATGCTGGTAATGGTGGCTAAGATGCAAGGCTGCAGGGTGATTGAACTGCGCCAGGTGACACCGCAGCAATGCGGGGAGAAAGAGGTGTGTCTAGCATGTGTGTCAGCATGAGATCAGTGTACCGCCAATGACGCGGGAGCAGAGCGCAGAGACTTACCCTGGTTCCGAAACGCAAGAACGCGAAGCTCGTATCCCTGCGTTGAATCAACTCTGACTCCACACCGAATATGATTGCTTTGTTAATCAGTGCCGAAAGAGGATAGAAGTCGACGGGGATTTGAACAGGCGTGGGTAGTTCCCTGCCGATCTCTGGTGACGCGGAAGCAAGGACGTCTTGCATGTCTATCCAAACTCGCATGTCGTTCCCATCGAAGAACCACAACGAGTCACGTAAATCGTGGCCGTGTACACCCTCCATGGTCAGTTCCATAGAGGGGCTCGCCGGCAACGAATCGGCATGTCGGTCCAATGCGAACGCAGGGTGATCGCGCATAAGAGCGTACGTCTCCACGTTCTGCGCGATGATGCGCATCTCGTATTTGAGTTCGCCACTCTCGGTAGTCGTTGGCTGCAGGAGCACAAGTTTACCATCTACGAGGAACAGGATAGTTGCGACCGCCACGTCCTGTGTTGGATCACCGTTATCTAAGACGTGTCAGCAGTTACAGTGCCGTAGGATTCAAAGGACGTACGTATTTGATCTTCCGGTAATATCCAGCTAAGCGCTCGCACTCGTGTAGGAGCCCGAATGATGCCATGCAGGGCGATTTGACCCACTTGCACCAATTTTACACTTGCGTCGGACACACTGATTACGTAGTGGTATAAGATGTTCTCGTACGTGTAGACCAGGAGTGAGTCTTCGCCGGAGGGTGCTATTAGTACAATGGGCGCAGGTAGCTTCTGCGAATGCATGACATGGCTGTTGTCAAGAGCTGCCTCGCGCGAATATACCCGGACCTTGACAAATGAATCAGTTTGAATCGAACCATGCGCCTTGATGTACCTACTTCGTGAGACTCGCGGCATTCGACAGCCGCAATCAAAACATGCTGGAACCAGCACATACCTCCTCGGACAGTGAACTCGTTTTCTATAAAAGGATCATCGAACATTTTCCACCGTCCGCTGTTAACGGAGTAGTGGGCGAGCCCTCTCTTGCCTGCTATTGCCACATATCGACCGTCATTCGAAATGACTGCACTTCTAATCGGCCATTGGTCGACAAGGTAAGCCGATGGAATTTGAACATGGTGCCAGAGTGAGACGTCGGCGGAGATTGTCGTTAGATCTGGCAGATCGTAACCGCGGTAAATCATGAATCCGGTACTGGTCTGCATCAAAGATCGTGACACATTTGCTGAAGAGAAGCAGCCAGTGACTGCACTGCGAGCCATCTCCAAAACAAAGAGACGATTATCGTTATCGCCCAACATCAAGAGCTCCGCGCCACCTCCAATCCAGAAAGCCTCTTTGACACTGAGAAGCCACCCTTCGTTGTTAGTCTTGGAAAGCGTCCTTTCTGCAGTGAAGCTGGTGGCCCCAGGCTTTCCGTATACACTCCACATGGCCCAGCCGTGTTCATAGCCAGCGAACAGACAGTACCCGTCTGGCGAGTATGTCAATACAGTCAACTTGCCGGGCGAAGTGACGTTCGGTCGTAGTTTGTGCGATAGAGGAATGTTGCCGGTATAGTCGCGTGCCGTGTATACATGGATCTCGCCATTGGTGCAGCCAACAGCAAGCAAAGAGAATCTCGCATTGATAGCAGCTTTGACACCATAATCGGCATCAGTCTTGGGTGTGTGGAAACCGTAGCCACGGAAGATACTAGAGACAGCGGCATCTCGTTTAGCCGCCTTTTGAACAGCATAGGCTCGACCGTTACCTGTGATCCAACACGACAGGTTCATGGGTCGATCATGGACCATTTCTCGCATTGATGCGTTGCTCCCTAACCATGTCATCTTGGTCAGAAGCTCGGTGCTGGTCTGGCTTCCAGTGCTGTCCGGCGCCCAACGAATACATTGCACGGCTGCCGGCTTCTCCGTGGCAACAACCAACTCATCATCGAGAGCCAGAGCCCGAATTATCCCAGCATCCACCCGTATCACCATCCGGAACCGCAGACTGAGCTCTTTCAGGCCATTGCCCTCTCCAGGTCCTGCATTGACATCATGCTGGCGCTGGATCTTGAAGCCTGTGATTGCACTGCTTTTCCTCGCGTGACCTCCGTGTGTGTTGGTGAATTGGGCCTGGTATATGCGGGATGAATGATCTGTTGCGAGCGAATACGTGATGAGGAAGCCGAGTGCGGTTTGGACGACGAAGATCTGCGAGTCGGGGCGGAGTAGGACGTCTGTATTAGGGCCGTATATTTTAACGGATTGCTCTGAACGAAGCACAGAGGCTAGAACTACCGTGGGCTGTGACGAATTAGCACATGAAGCGCCAGCTTAGCAATTGGACATGCCTTTGTCTGCCAGATTGTGAGGGTGGTTCTGGTGAGGGTTGCAAACATGTGACCGCTCCTCGTCACCCTGATCGCGATGATGGTGCCATGTATATCGTCCTCTACTGATTGAACCGACGCGCCTTTCTGTGGCGAGAGCGCGCCATTCTTCTCTTCTACCCCACTCTTACTGTCGGCAGAAGCCTCATGTTCAGATTGATTCTGGGATTGGGGGTCCGACCCTCCATGCGCTCCGTCCGATTGCTTGTGTTCGACGCCATCGTGCGAGGTGTTCGTGCGCCCGGGATCCGTACGTTTAGTGGCCGCGAAGACGGAGGGCGACGAGATGGGCCAATACGTCATGGCGGTCTACCGCAAGCGATGGCTGCATTTGCGCGCGCCCATCTCAATGCGGGGATGTATGCTTCACGGAGCTCATGCTAGCTGGGTCGGTGCAGGGGAGGCTGGTGGTGGAGCTGGGCGGTGAAGTCACGCGAGGCGCAGCAATGTGGCTGCTGCATCCGTGCTGACATGTGCAGGCAGTACGCGTATCGCGGGGGGAAGATGCGATGGCCGTCCCGCCCATGCACCACACTAAAATATTACAGCGAACGTATTGATTCAAGGGCTTATTGTAAGATGTGGCCGAGAGATGACGGACCGATGCCGAAAATACTGCATTGGGAAGGAAATTCTTACCGTCGATTACGGTGCGCAGATGCGCATTTGCGCACATGCATAAGCCAAGATTTCACAGAAGCCCCGAAAACATCCTGCTTTGCCAACTGGCCAGCGGCACTACTTGCAGCCACTCGATCTAAGGTGATATTGAGCGGCTGTTCAAGAAAACAGATCTAAATGTCTACGTTGTTTTGGGGGTTGGTTGACTTTCGTGCCTTGCACCGATGTAGACAGCAGGGCACCTGTCCAGTGCCCGGGTTGTTCCTTGTGTGAGGTGTAACAGTGAAATCGTACTCGCCCTTCTTCTTGAATTTTGGAGTGTGAAATGTAGTGTGCGTTTCAATAGAGTTGGGGTATGGCTTGCCACTGTTCCGCAGGTTGTGAGAAGCCTTTCTGGAAGCATGCATCGGCCTGTCAATGTCGCAAAGCGACAAACAGTATCCAGAGAACGATCCAACAGATTTCAGATTTAAACAGCCTGGGATTCAAATTGCCTCAGAGTTTAATCAATTTCTGGTCTTACGGGGGTACGCCCATATATACCTCAGAGTATCAATGCTTTGTTTGTTTTCTTCCCGGAACGATGTGACTTGGTAGCAACGCCGATCTTGACTGCTTTGGTGTTCTTCCTTTGTGGTTAGGCTGCATTTTGTCCAAGGTCAGCGTTGGTGTGGTCCATATTACCCAACTGCCCCGCATCGCTCAAGTGAATTTTCCCACAACCAACAAAGAGCTGGGAATATAAACGCACGATCTGCTCGGGTCTCCATCAATTCCTAGAGAAGGACAGATGGCCGGTTAGTCTAAACACCTCCATCTTCAACGCATCCATTCTAACATCCCATACAGAGCTGGTTATGGCGCCAGGTTAAGGTTTCTTAACGTTAAGTCTAAGAGAGCAATTTCTAAGACATCCTGGTCACGAAAGTGGCGTGGGTTCGAGTCCCACTCTGTTCAGCATTCGTCTGGCATTGTCAGATACTCCAGGATATTTTTTTTCGCTGTTTTGGGTCACTTTGGGGCATCCTTTAGTCAACCCCTTGTTTTTTGCTGTAACGTGTCGCACATAACACAAATCCTTTCAAAGCCTTGTTCAAGAGACGTTCTTTGTCTGTATAATGTATTATTTACGTTCAAAACCTAATAGCTCGCTCAAGGTAATTCTGCACAATACTCGTCGACACAGGCAAGATCCCAAGTAATGCAAGCGTCCAAACCTGCTTCAATTATTGCGTATCAACAAGATTATACCAGAGCTATAACAACTGTCTTATCTACAATACAGCATCTAACGTGTCTTCCTTTGTACAAGACCTAGGTCTAAGCACAGGGCAGCCATTATGTATGTACGGGCGCGTACTATAGATCACTGCTCGACTATCAGAAGTCCCCATTGTCCTCGTAGTTCCCGCCATCATCTTCTCATAAGCAAGTAAGACTGAAGGTGCACAACAGCTCAAGAGTTTGTAGGTGCCCGGGTGTGGTGAGAAGCAAAGGCACAGAAGTGGTCGACAGAAAGAAGAGGACGAAGCCTGCGGATATGCCGAAACCTCAAACCAGCACTTCAATAATAGCCATTGTGGCTTCAATTGAGTTACCAATCCTTCAGTCGTTTGTCTGGAGGCCCGGATACCTAGGTAATTGTTCTTTACTAATGGCTCGGCTCAAACTTGTAGAAGCCAGGCGACTGCGAATATGGCGGTCTATCACAAGGGTGAGCATAGCACCTTGTCTCGACTAACATCAAGCTTCAAGTGTAGGATTCTGATATCGACGTTCGGAGAGTTGGTGAACCGCGCGTGTGGAGCACATGGCTCGCCGATGTACTAGTCTCGATTAGGCTACGCTAGAAGAGAACCCCGGCCCGCTTGTCAGAAAAAGTTCGGGAAGTCGCGAACTTTTGCGACTTCGAGCTTGAAGACTGCGACACGACAACGACTTTCCCAAAATGGCCGGTATCAAACGCAAATCGACCGGCGCAAGTGCGCCCGACGCCAAGGACAAGAGCAAAAAGGTCAAGGTCGACAAGCCTACCACCAAGAGCGAGAAGAAGCGCGACGTTAAGCCGGTCAAGAAGGCGAAGAAGACCAAGGAAGAGAGCTCCGACGACTTTGAAGAGTCGGATACGAGCGAGAAGGACAATGGCTTCTACGGCTTCTCGGCGGCCGACGGTGCCGATGTCGACATGAGCGACGCCGACAGCAGCGACGAACAACCCGCAAAGTCCAACGGCAAGACACAAAAGCGCAAAGACGGCAACGAATCTTCGGATAAGCCTGAGGGCGAGGGCGTAGAGTCCAAGTTGGCGGGATTGAATGGTAAGACATAGCCATCTAGCCTACTCAATCACTTACCTAACCGTCCCTCTAGTAAACAATTCGAAAGAAGCGCACGCAAAACAAAAGGCCCTTGCCAGAGAACGAAAGGCCGCGAAGCCAAACGCCGATATTATCGAACGCTCCAAGAAGCTGTGGGAGAAGCTCAGGCTGAAGTCGCATGTTGACAAGGAAGAGAGGAAGGGACTCGTTAAGGAGTTGTTCGAGATCATAACTGGCAGAGTCAAGGACTTCGTCTTCAAGCACGACTCTGTGCGTGTCATTCAAACAGCCATCAAATACTCGACAATGGAGCAGAGGCGAATGATTGCGAGAGAGCTGAAGGGCGAGTTCAAGGTCCTCGCTGAGGGCAAGTACTCCAAGTTCTTGATCGCCAAGTTGGTGGAGAAGGGGTGAGTACAATGTCCACGCACGGCATAACATGTCTAACCGATCGCAGCGACCCTGAAATTCGCGACCTCGTCATCACCGAGTTCTACAGCCACGTCAAGCGCATGATCAACCACCCCGAAGCCGCATGGATCGTAGACGATATATACCGAGCCGTAGCCACTCCCGAGCAGAAGAACCGTCTTCTGCGGGAATGGTATGGTCCTGAGTTCTCCATCAAGGGTCTTTCTGCCGAAGGCACCGATAGCGCAGAGCTATCGGCCATCTTGAAAGAATCCCCGGAGAAGAGGAAGCCTATTATGGGCTACCTTGAGAGCCAGATCAACTCGCTCATTCAGAAGAAGCTCACTGGCTTCACCATGCTGCACGACGCCATGTTGCAATACTTCCTCGTATGCGAGCCCGGCACCGAACAAGCGAACGATTTCCTCGAACACCTCAAGCCGGACCCAACAACCAAGGAGGGCGAAGAAGCCGACAACGTCGATCTCATGAAGAACCTCGCGTTCACAAAATCAGGGTCGCGATTGGTGTCGCTTTGCTTCGCATACGGCACAGCCAAGGACCGCAAGCTCTTCCTGCGGCCGTACAAGGACACAATGGAGACAATGGCTTTCGACCAACACGCCCATCACGTCCTTCTTGCTGCTATGGCAGTCACGGATGACACCAAGCTTTCTTCCAAGTCCATCTTCAGCGAGCTTCTACCCAGCAATGACGCCCTCCCCGAGAAGGTGTTGAACCTGGTCAATGATGCTCGCGCACGCACAGTCTTACTATACCCATTCGCCGCAGATGCCAAATGGTTATTGGATGACAACACGCGCGACCGGTTGAGCGAGTTGTATGCCATTCGCCAGACTACATCAAAGAAGGACCCAAACATCCGTCTCTCGGAAATCGCAAAGAGCATCGAGCCGCAACTGCTGACGGCTGTGACTGCCCGCGCTGCCGACTTTGCCTCTTTCACATTCGGCCTACAGTTCATGGGCGAGGTTCTCGTTGGAGCACCAGAGGTCGAACCGGCGAAGCGCAAGGAAGCTTTGACGGAGGTCGCCCGTCTTTCACAATCGATCTTGGACTCTGCCTTGCCTGCTTCCGCCGGTGACAACAAGGCTACCAGTCACGGCAAGAACATGCTGAAGATGCTGGTACAAGGTGGCAAGTTCGACCCTACCACCAAGAAGGTCGTTCCCGTAGAGCCTGCTCTCGGCTTTGCAGACTTACTCTGGCCTCAGATCAAGTCTAACCTGATTAGCTGGGCGACTGGTCAGGGCTCTTTCGTGGTGGTGTCTATGACCGAAGCTGAAGGCTTTGCCAAGAAAGACGAAGTACTGAAAGCGCTGAAGAAGGAGAAGAAGGCGCTAGAGGCGGCTGCCAACCCTCCAGGCGCGCAAAACGGGGAGGCCAAGGGCAAGAAGCAAAAGAAGGGCGACAAGTCGAACGCGGCTCCTAGAGGAAACGCTGGAGCGAAGATTCTGCTTGAAAAGTTGTAGAGTAGCCTATATTTGATTCAAACATGTATGATGATACCCATGTAAGGCCTTCTTCATGCATATTCTGTCTTCCGAGTACCTTGCTGCATCCCTCATTACGTCTCATCAGCATCGCTGTATACTACATGCCCAGGTGTTGCTATGTGTCTTAGCAGTCCAAATCGGGAATTGCTTCCGCCGAAAGATGCAGGCACACCCACCTACCAACCCGGACTTCACCGGTATTTGATCCATGGATACCACGACCGATACCCTAGATGATCAACAAATCTACCTTCCGGACCACTCTGTCTCGTTTACTAACTA